AGGTTCTCTCATAGTTCACTTGCCTGAATTATATCACCCAAACTATCCTCTCTTTTCACACCTTTTGCATCCCCACCTCTGCCACACTGCTTCTTATATTATTGAGGAAATAAAAACCAGAACACCCAAACTGTCTCTAAAACTTAAAAACTACTTATACTTAGAGACAGCTTCTTTTGTCCCCTACAGAAGAAGTGGAAGAAGTGCCCTTTCTCCCAGCCCAGGCTTCTCTTCTCTGCCACTATCTAAAGGGCCCCTGGGTCTCTTTCAATGCAATCTACATCATATCTTAAAAAGCTCTTCTCTCAGCACTGGGACACGATTTTCTGTTTTCCTCCTGTCCTTCCGTGACTCATCCTGTCTCCTTTTCTGGGCCCTCCTCTCTCCTACATCCTAGTGATCACCTTTCCCATGACCTTCCCTGAAACTGATTTTCTCTCAAGATTCCCTTCTAAGGATATTACATCAATTCCCTCAGATGTAAATATCATATTCAAGCCAGGTGCAGTGGTACACACCTATAATCCCAGCAATTTGCAAGCCTGAGGTAAGTGGTTTGCAAGTTCAAAGCCAGCCTCGGCAACTTAGAAGACCCTCAGCAACTTAGTGAAACCCTGTCTCAAAACACAAAATAAAAGGAACTGGGGAGCTGGGCATGGTGGTGTATGCCTGTAATCCCAGTGGCTCAGGAGGCTGAGGCAGGAGGATTGTGAGTTCAAAGCCAGCCTCAGCAACTTAGCAAGGCACTTAGCACCTCAGCGAGACCCTGTCTCTAAATAAAATATTAAAAAGGGCTGGGGATGTGGCCCAGTTGTTGAGCGCACCCCTGGGTTCAAGCCTCAGTATCCAAAAAAAAAAAAAAAAGAACCAGGATATAACTCAGTGGTAGCATGCCCCTGGGTTAAAGTTCCAGTACCATAACAAATAAGTAAATATCACCTTCATTCCTGCTCTAGATTCTGAGAATATAACCCCAGACTCTCTTTGGAGATAAAGAGTTGATATCCAATTACATATCTAAGATCGCTACTATGGTGTGTCTCAACTTGGACTCAACTTGTCCCAAATGAAACTCTTGATATTTCATTCAAACCTGTTCTCCCCATTCCTTATCTGTCACATCATCCCTTTGGTTTCTCAAACCAGAAACTCATGAGGTCATCTTTGATTCTTTGATTTTTTTCCTCACCCCAATTTTCACCTATCAATAAATCCTAACAATTCAAACTCTGATTATAAATTCTTTAAATATAATGAGACCTTCCAGACTTGGGTCTCTGCATATATTCCCTTTCCCTCAGCTTTGCACTGGTCCATTTTTCTTCCTCTAGGCCTTAACTTCAATGTCATCTCCCCTAAGAGACCCCGTCAGACCACACTAACATAGTCATGTGTTATTCTCCATCTCAGGGTCTTGTTTGTTTTCCTCCTAGATCACAAAATCATGTAGTTTGTTTCATTTCTTATTTGTCTGTTTTCCTAAGTGAAGGCTCATACCTCATCATACATAAATTCAGAAAGAACTCACTGTGTTTTCCTTAAGTGAATAAATATTGTTGGCATTTATTTGTTCTGCAATTCCTATTACTGTTTAAACATGAATTTGAAGACAATGATCATGAATCATCTGGTACTTCCTACAACAGCTAGCATGATATTCTATACAAAGTGCAAACCTGGGTAAATCATTTAGTAGATGAGTAGATTTCTCCCTCTCGTGCCTGTGGCTCATTAGCCAGTGGGAAGCTCCTCCCCACACTCCTGAGGACACCATACCTGGAAGGTGCAGAGCTCTTTGCCTCTTCAACTTTCTGAGCTATTTCTCTCTTTTCTATAGTCACTCCCAAGCTGGAATAACTTTTTTCTCATTTTATATCATTACAATAGTCTCCAAAAATCAAGAAGACTTTGAAAACTCAGTCTTCATCATTTCAATAGAAAGATACTCATGGTATACAAATACTACCTGGATTGGGGTGAGGCAAAGGTTGGTAAAAATAATTCTAGAGGAATTGACAAAATAAACATATGAATATCCACAAAAATTCTGAAAAATAAGAGAAATTGAAGATCTATCTGACATTTAAATATATTACAAGGTGGAAAGTGGGAGGGAAAGGTTTTGATTCCCATGATGGCCATCATGCAGTTTCAGTTATTTAAAGTTTATAACTTGCCTATAATCCCAGTGATTCCAGAGGCTGAGATGGGAGGATCTCGGGTTCCAGGCCAGCCTTAGCAATTTAGAGAGGCTTTACACAATTTTGCAAGACCTTGTCTCAATGAAAAATAAAATTGGTCTGAGGATGTGACTTGGTGGTTAAGCACCCCAGATTCAATCCCTAGTACCAACAATAAAAATATAGTTTGTATCTGCCAGGCAATAGTATACTTATTCTTAAAGAGATTAATGCACAGATTAGCAGAGGATAGAAATTAAATGGAGACCATTTAACTTTGCCAACCACATGAAGTAAATATACATTTATGGCATATTACAAAGTTGGCATTCAAATCAGTGGGAGAACTATATGGAATATTTATTGGTTCCTAAGCAAACAGGAGTTGAAGGGTGGACTTCCTGGATTGAAGAAGTATCTTGGGTTGAAGTATCTTGGGTAAGGATTGAAGGAGAGAATGGGAATGTGTCAACAACAGAGTACCCTGGAACAACAGGAACCTGTTTTAAGAACATGATGCCAACTATGAGCAAAACTTAGACAATCATTAAGAAGAGAGAATTGTTCAATTTTCATATTCCAGATGGTAACACAGGTTTCTCTAGTAAATTAGCACCTACACAAAAATGCCCGTTCTTCATCAACATTCTAAATCAGGTGACTTAAATATCTGGCAAGAAAATACCAACACAGGGCTGTTGGTAAAAATCAGCAGTGGAATGCTTGTTTAGCATGCCCAAGGCCCTGGGTTCCATCCCTAGCACTGAAAAATGAGAAAGAGAGAGAAAGGAGGAAGGAAGGAAGGGAGGCAGGGACCAATGCATGGGAAGAAGATGGAGCCTGGCAAGAAGTATTGAGACAGCAGAGAAAAGAGAGGAGCCGGACCACAAAGGGAGAAAATGGAAAAGGAAGCACAGTGTCTAACAAGGAAAGAACATGACAAAATTGGTAGGAAATTTTATAACATGTATTCTTCAAATGTCATGATACCTGTAGGGGAAATCTAGCTCCACCAGTCAAGCAATGTTTTATGAATTTAAGAACATTTTCAGAATATAAACATATTGCTTGGTTTTAATTCACTCACCAAGCCCTCTAAGAAATCAGAGTTTTACCAAATACCTTGAACTCTTAGTGATTAAGACTCAAAAGAACAACAACAACAAAAAGATTTAGGAGAAAATTTTTTTTAATGTGCTCTAGATGTAAAACAATTATTTTCTGTAGAGAAATTATTAATGAAATGTCGTAGCACCTCTCAAGCTAGTTTTCTAGCTGAATAAGAGAGCGTAAGTAATTTTATGGTATAAAAGAACTCTGCTGCTTATTATTCTTTCCTTCATGGCCTAATTATAAAATAAATGATTTTAATATTCTTTTGTTTCTACAAATACCTGTCCTGAATTGAACATGTAGTAGGACTTAAGCCATTTTTATTATCAGAAACTGGTACTAGCATATGTTTCTTTAATTTGAATTGGTATTACTTATGTTTGGTATGATATTAAAGTTGTCATTTTTGGTTTTCCAGAAAATGGCTTTAAAACCATAGTTTTATTTATCATAAAAATTTTCTATATCACTATTTATTTTGGATTATGTTGTAATGTTATACATATTTGTAATTTATAATGCATGCATAAACATTTAAAAGTAAAGAACAAATTTACAATATGTAAAATGGTTTTGCATACAAACAGGAATATAGAGAATAATAAAACAGAATAGGATCAAGAACATATGTAAGTAAATATACATTTATGGCATATTACAAAGTTGGCATTCAAATCAGTGGGAGAACTATATGCAATATTTAATAAATGGTGATAGGAAAAATTGTAACTTAGAAAAAATAATTAGATTCCTATACACTTTCACCAAAATATATCTTGGGTATTCTAAGTTATCCAAAATATACATTGAAAAATATTCATTACAACATTGTATACAACCTCAAAACAAAATAATAACTTGAAAATAGCACAATGTTTGTCTATTTATGTTACATTCAAAAAATGAATACCATACAATTGTTGAAAAGAATTCAGAAGATCTGGATGTACTGATGGGAAAAATGGGAAAATGTCCAAAATATTTTTTTGGATGATAAAGACAAGCTACAGGAAAAAAAATCGTGTGTATGTGTGTGTGTGTTTTCAAGAGTGCATTTGTACATACAGTTTTCTGGAAGTATACACAAAAATCTAACAATGATTACCTCTAGGACTGACAATGGGGGTAGGCAGGAAAAATGATTTTGAATTTTGATGGTATACCTTTTGGTGTTGTCTGAATTTAATACCAAGAGGTTGAAATTTTTATGATAAAACATTAAGTAAAATAAAAATAATCATGATGAGAAGGAGAAAGTGAAGAAAAGACAAAGGGGGAAGAAAAAGAGAGAATCATATATTAATATCCAAGTTTCAGTATACTTGCAGGATAATTGCTAGCATAGGTAAAACTTGATTTCACTTCTAGCCAAGTTTCTAGTACTATCAACTAGGGAGTATATAATCTTAGTACTGAACAGGCTTTACATTATCTGGTACAACTTCATTCTACAGATGAGCACGCTAAGAGTGGCTCAGGCTTCCTGGAAATCTGCCATTACAGGGACAGTATCACCTTTAAGACAGCCTCACATTAAAGCTTGAAAGTCCAACATCAGCAGCAAAATATACACGGAAAAGCAAAGACAAAGATATAAAATAGAATGAAGCAGAGGGAACAAAGGTGTCAGTTATTGATCCTCTATGTAAGGTGCCACACACAGAAGCAAATAGCTCAGGGAGCCATGGCAGGGGTGCTCAGCCTTACCTTGTAGTGACTGATGGCATTTTCAATGGTCGGCTCAGAATGAGACTGGTGTTCAAGGGACTCCAGGCATTCCACGCACAGTAGACATTTGCTCTTCTCACAGAACCTCTGAAACCTCTTCTGGTGCTTGTGGCAGATGTAGCCTTCCCCCAGTACCCTCTCAGAATAGGGCTTCCGGCAGAGGGGACAGCAGAGAGCCCCAGAGGCCAAGGCCTTCTCCATGTGCTGGGCCAGGCACACACGACAGAAGAGGTGTTTGCAGTCGGTGCTCACAGCCTCCTTCAGGTGTTCTTGGCAGATGGGGCAGACAGCCTCCTCCTGTCTGTCCTCTTGTAAGGAGACCATGGTCTCCAACCTGTCCCACCAGCCTCCCACTGGGTCTTCTGAAGAATCCTGCCACACTTGATAGCCCTAGATGAGAGGGCTCAGCTGGAAGGAGGCAGCCCTGGACAGACCCAAAGGACACAGCTCAGGCTCCAACTTCAGGCAGTTGCCCCCTTTCCATCAAAGGAGACAGTTCTGGCCACCTAAACCATGATTCTGAATGAGTTTCAGAAATACCTCATTAGCTTTGCTATGCATCCTGTGGTTTCCCTATATCTGCGACACTTGAAATCACTATTTCCATACAACTCTAAGAAGCAGGTGATTCAAAAACTCTTTTATTTCTCTCCCCCCCGCCCGCATTTTCTCTTGAGAGCTTTCTGTGAATATTTATACAGTTCAAAATTAAATGACCAGGATGTCATTGTCATGGCCAGAAACAGAACCACCATAATTTATAAGTTGAAAGTCTTCTTTGATTTGCTGTTGGTTGCCAGGATTCGGCAGGAGTTCAAACTGTTCTCGCCCACAGTAATGTACTGCCATTGATACAGCCAACCATTTATAGCAGCATGTTGTCAGCAAGTCATTTTCCTAACTAGCATCTTTTCCACGGTTATAGATGCCACATAAAAGAGAAAGAGAAAGAAAACGGGACAGAAAGCAGAAGAGAGACTTGTGTAATGTTTGAAGCCATCTTTTTCTTTCTTTTCAAATTATCTCCAAAGATGACCCAAAGGAAGTCTCTGCCACACCACTTCCCTTAAATATGGTGTGTTCACTCTCATCTTGCCTAACTTCCTTCCCCACAAAAGCTCTTTTATAATCCTACCTCAATTTCTCCTTTTTGATTTCAGGTCATTTTCTCAGGCTCCAGATCTGGGGAGAAGGCCGGCCGGGTGAATGGTTCCTTCTTAAATCAGGCCAATTATATATGCTCATGGGTCAGTGAAACTGGGGGAGAGGTGGATCAACTCACCCAATCTTAGAAACACTGAATTACCAGGGAAATGAAAGTCCCCGTGACCTAGGGTAACTGGAAGAACAGGTGGACTTTAGTTGTTGCAGGGTGTGGCTTGTTTGCTCACGGGAAAGAGGAAAGTCTTGGTGCTTTTAATGCAAATATTACAGAAACTGACAGTCAACTCAGAATGGAGGCCACCAGAATCCCAGCTTATGGCACTGTAGGATCCAGGTGTCATGAGACCTTGACACTTACTGCTGGATGATGCTGGAACATCAGTTGCCCACCCCACTGTCCTCCAGTAACCTTCTAGTCAGGCTGATGTCAGCATTGACATTGGGAGAGACACCAGCTGGTGCCAGTAATAAGGATCGCGGCTTGAGGCTTTTAATGATCTAAGATTCTTATTTGAAAACCTCAATCTATAGCCCCCTCCTTCAATCCTACTTTGCCACCGATTGCTATGTGGAGTTGTGTGGTATTATAATAAGATAAGTATACTTTTGGTCTTCATCCCTGGTTCTGGAAGACAACACCTCAAACCCTTGTAGTTTCCTGAGTGATAGAAGTGACTGGTGTATATTTTGCTATTCACAATAGGACCCTTTCAACCAAACCTGATTTTATGCCAAAGAGGTGGCTCTTAAAATATGGGGCCAGTTACTAGAAAAGCCAATTATGGTTAGAGAGTTGGAACTTATAGCTCTACCTCCTACCTCGAGAAAGAAGAGAGGGTCCTGGGAACTGAGTAATCACCAATGGCCAATAATTTGGTCAATTATACTTACATATTGGAATATTCATGAAAGTCTCAACAAAAGGGTTCAGAGAACTTCCAGGATGGTAAATGCATCACATGCTGGGAAAATGGTGCTCACCAAACTCAGTGGGGATACAACTCAGCGGGACACAAAATCCTGTGCTCACTTCCCTTCTGGAGCTTACCCTATGTACCTCTTCATCTGGCTGTTCGTGACTTCTTTGCACCAAATCAGTAATAGCAATTAAAGTGTGTTTCTGAGTTCTGTGCACGATTATAGCAAATTGTTAAACTTAAGGATGGACTCATGGAGAATTCCAATTTGTAGCCAAGTCAGCCATAAGTGTGGGTAACCTGGGGACCCACTACTTATGATGTGCATCTGAAGCAAGAGGCAGTCTTCTGGGACAAGCTCTTAACCTGTGGTATCTGTATTAACCACCGATAGTGTCAGAATTAAGGACATTCAGTTATGTCAGAGAATTGTAAAATTAGTTGGTGTGAGAAAAATAAATCCACATATTTGGTGCCCAAATGTTTAAACAGATTTTCTTTTAGGTTGATACCAAAAAGTCACTTTCTCAAGTCATAGTTCCTTGGCTTTCTTCTCAAAGGAGATGACTCCCTAAAATTTCAAGGTCACAGGTGGGGTGGGTAGCTTCCTCACTCCACACCCCCACCTCCTGACCATTATTTCTCAGACTCAGAGTAAGAATATCTGTCTGAAAGATCTCTGGTTGTCTACTCTGGCTCTTCTTTGCTACCCTTCACACACCTGTCTCCCTTAATTCATTGAGGACTTGGGTACAAGGATCACAGGTTTTTCCTTACCCCATGTCTTTCCATTATCCTAAGTACAAGACTATGTAAATGGACATCCAACACTGAAGTCCCTCAGTTCCTTGACCTGCCCACGTCTAATGACCTTCCCTTTTGCCACCTACCCTGTGACTACTCTCTGCACTTCGTTGGAATTCAGATTTCAGCACTTGAAATCACAAATCTAGGCATCAACCTTGTCCTGCTGCTCTCTCTGTAAGCTACTCACTGCCACACCTGTTCTTTAACCTCTAGTCCTTGACCCTCCTGCATTGGACATTTCTGCACAATCTCATGGGATAATGTAGGAAACAAAATATAGAAAAATGAAATAACTGTCCAAGGTCACAGTGGGGTAAATCTAGACCTGAGATTCATATTCGGATATCCGTTATCCCAGACCCATGGCTTCCTTGCCACAAAGTATCATCTCTCTCCACACCTTTCCTTGCCCTTGATAAATGAGTGGGTGAATGGATAGATGGATAGAAAGACTGGATAAGTGGATATATGGCCACATAGATGAAGAAAAATAGCATTTTATGCCAATGTGGACTATTGATCATATAGTAACTTTTACTATAGTTATTTAGGTACTTGTTTTTCCTACAGGTTTATTGAGCAACTTAAAGGCAGGAACCCACTATTTAGTAATACTAGCTTGTGTATGTGTAAACAAACTATATATGTGTAAAATACTAGCTTGTGTATGTGTGTGTGTATGTGTGTTTGTATGTGTGTGTGTGTGTGCATGTGTGTGGTGTTAGGGAATGAACAGCTTTATGCCTATGCTGTACCAACAGAGCTATACCCCCAGACCCCTGAGTAATATTAGCTTAAGAAAAAAATTGTAAGTAAGGCTGGAAATTTATGAAGTAAGGGTTTTTACACACAATTACCTGATAATAATTCACAGAAGACTCTGCCAGACCCCAAGCTTTCACAAAAAGTACTTCTACAAGGACATCTACCAAGCAATTGTTTATTTAACCTTGAACTGATGTTACTCAAGTTATTTGCCATTATGGCCAAGAAACAATGTTTCAAAATATCTGATGTAATCTTCATTTTTGAAAACTTCAAAAACTTCCCCTTGTCTCAACCTCCTTGAATACACCCATAGTTTGCTGGCATGCACAATCCCATTGCAGTGCTATTCCCAAATAAATATCAGTATTTGGGAGAAAATATGATTTTTAAAATTTAGATTGACAATCCTAAACTTGAATTTCAGTGATATTTTCTCAATTTACATCCAAACTTATGATTCTGAGACCTTAGTTCAAGTAGTCCCCTCCTTGTAATTCTCTTTTCCTTGGCTATTGGTTCCCTCTCACCTCACCCCTCTAAGCATCCGTAAAAGGTAGACTACTCCAACCTTGTGCCATGAGGTGTAGCTAAATGAACTTCCAAGGCAGAGGCCCCGGGTTCATGCCACCACTCTGTCTTTTCCCACCTGAGCCTCAATGCCATTCAGATTCTTTTTTCCTTGTCTTGATCTCCTTGAGTTTAAATTCCTGCACATCCTTGGATGTCCCATCACCACTTCAAGTTCAATGTACCTTCTAAATTATTCCTACCTGGATTTTAACCTGCCACTCTGCCCAGAACAGGAATAGAGAGGGTGCTTCAGCTGAGTGCTTTTGGTAGCTGACTCTGGGTGCAAAGTAAGTGGCACTGTCTCTCAAGATGGAACATGACTTCTTCCTTTCACCTCTGGAAGGTAGACTGCTGCTGCCATGACTTGAGAGCACTAGGATATTTCTTTTAAAGATGGTGGCTTAAAATTGGCAGTGTAATTACTCAGAGAAAAATATAATAAACACTGGAAAGGATGTGGGGGAAAAGGAATAGTTTTACACTGTTGGTGAGATTGTAAATTAAATTAGTACAACCACCGTGGAAATCAATATGGAGGTTCCTCAAAAGACTAAGAATTACCAAATGACACAATATAATTAAAAGTCAGCACACTATAGTAACACATGCATACCCATGTGTATAGCTGCACAATTTATAATAGCCAAGTTATGGGACCAGCCCAGTTGTCCATCAACAGATGATGGGTAAAGAATGTGGAACATATACACAATGGAGTTTTACTCAGCCATAAAGAAAAATGAAATTATTGCATTTGCAGGAAAATAGGTGGAACTTGAAAGCATTATCTTAAGCAAAATTAGTCAAACTCAGAAAGTCAAGAGTCTTATGTTTTCTCTCATATGTGGAAGCTGGAGAAGAAAAAATGATGGGGGAATCTCAGAGAGACCAGTAGAGTAGAAGAAGGGGACAAGGGGAGGGAGAAGAAGAAGATAAGGGAGGCACTGGAAATGAAATTGACCAAATTATATTGTTATATTTTGTGCATATTCAAATATGTAACAACAGATTCCACTATTATGTATAATTGTAATGCACAAAAAAATAAAAGAAAAAGAAAAATATCTGGCTGTGTAAAATTAGTCATAAAATATGTAGACGGGGCGGGGGTGGAAGTAGGAGAGAAAGAACATAAAATTGTATAAGAGGAAGAGGGAGCCAGGAGAAAGGCAGAACCTACAGGGCAGCAGAAGGCAAGGGGACTGGGGACAGTTTGCCAATGAGAAATGTCATGTGGGAGAAATGTCAAAGAATGGTGAAGAATGTAAATGCCTAATACAAAATCTTAAGTTATCTGCTCTGCAATTTTGTCCTTTGATGAAAGCCATCCTCTAACCTGGAACTCAGTACCACCTCTCCCTTAAATCTCCAGGAAACTGTCAGTTGATATAATATACACAACTACTTGAGTAAGAAACAACATAAGTGTGGTGGACCACACCTGTAATCCAGCGGCTTGGGAGGCTGAGGCAGGAGGATACAGAGTTCACAGCCAACTTCAGCAACAGAGAGGCCCTAAGCAACTCAGTAAGACTCTATCTCTAAATAAAATACAAAATAGGGCTGGGAGTGTGCTCAATGGTCGAGTGGCCCTGAGTTCAATCCCTGTTATCCAAAAAAAAAAAAAAAAAATTAACATACGAGAAATTACAGATTTCAAATATTTTCACCAAGAAAAAAAAACAAGTAAACAAACCCCCAATTAACCTGAAATGTATTGAGGCAGTTCATCATCCACAGGTTGAGAAAGAATCTTACAAAACATCTGCTCCCAAGAACAGCCAGATGGACCAGTATGGACATTTTGCTTATAGAAGTTGTGGAGAGGGATGAATCTACCCTGAGTGGAATGTATACAAGTGGTTGACTTACTGTAGGCATTAAGTTAGACACACTTATTTCAACAAAATGATGAGGCTACACAATTAGACACTTCCTTATAATATGGGAATTTATGAGCTGCAAATTCCAAACTTACTGAGGCATTGAGAAAAATCAAAAGGCGTAAGCAAGTGCAGAGAGTGATGTTCGATAAGGCTATGAGAGTCAGCCTGAAGTAAGACTTCAGCAGAGGAAACTTCAAATACAATTCTGATTCAAGTAATTGGGTGTGCAGAGAAACAAGTACCATGAAGTTCATCACTTGCCCTGGCTATTTCCAAGGCCCCAGGATGGGCTGTGGCAATGTATTCACATGGTCACACTATTTTGTAGATTTGCAAAAGTAATGTATATTTAACTGCAGTTAGCATTTCTTTTTCCATTCCAACTTTCCTCTGTCCTTGTATCAGTGGGCATTTGGGGATCCAGCAAAAGGGAAATTGAGTTAGACTTACATGGTTTGAGTGTACTAAGACATGTGGCTTATAAATACCTCTGTGTTTCATCAGGTTATTGCTAAGTTTAGAAATGGCTTCCAGGAATACTTCTGCCACCTGCTGAGATTACTCACTTGACAGCAAAGACTAAAGTGCAAGGTCAGAGGAATTGTCACCATAAGAACGTGTCTTAAGACATGAAGCACCAGAAGTCTGTGGCAGCAGAGCCAATAAATCCTTCCAATACCAGAAAATTCTAAATGTAGGATTCAGTCTCATCAATGTCTAATCAAAATGGAAGCTCTCATCTTTAGGAGTATATTTACGATGCAACACATACAATTGTACATTTGTCATGAGATAAAACTGTTTTTTACATATTTCTACAAAAATCTAATTTTTTTTTTGCAGTGCTGGATCTTGAGCACACCAGGACAACGCTGTGCCACTGAGCTATATCCCAGCCTTCTATATAAATTCAACAGAAGTTATTCTAACATCAAAAAAGTGAATTGTAGATGGGCGCAGTGGCCCACACCTGTTATCCCAGCAGTTTGGGAGGCTAAGACAGGAGGATTGCGAGTTCAAAGTCAGGCTCAGCAAAAGCGAAGCACTAAGCAACTTAGTGAGACCCTGTCTCTAAATAAAATACAAAATAGAATTGGGGATGGCTCAGTGGTTGGGTGCCCTTGAGTTCAATCCCCTACTCCCCCACCCCCACCAAAATAAAGTGAACTGTAAGAGCTGGGAACACTGGTGCTCGCCTGTAATTCCAGCAACTTGGGATGCTGAGGAAGGAGGATGGTGGGCTCAAAGCCAACCTCAGCAACTTAGTGAGGCCCTAGCAATTTAGTGAGACCCTGCCTCAAAATGAAAAATAAAAAGGGCTGGGGATAATTGGTAAAATTACCAGTATAAAAAAGAAAGAAAGAAAGAAAGAAAGAAAGAAAGAAAGAAAGAAAGAAAGAAAGAAAGAAAGAAAGAAAGAAAGAAAAGTAAATTGTAACAATTATTTTTCATTTCCAACCAAAACCAGTAATTTACTGGAGAGAAAAGATTAATTTTAAGTAGAATTGATGCCTAGATTTTTGTAATCTATTGATGAGAGGAACAAACTGTATAAACACATAGAAATTTTAAATTTTTTGTAGATTTGGCATAAAATATCTACACAGATATTTACCAGAAGGACTTTACCAGAAGGATTTAGCAATGAACAAGTCAATGACCATAAGCAATTTATAGAGTGAGTCACTACCAAAGGAAACTTGAAATGTCTTGAAAAAAATCTTAGGATCATAAAAGAAACTCTTAGAATTGGCAGCCTTCCAAATGAGTGCATTAAAAATTGACATGCGATTATCAATGATTGTGAAATAAAAATCAACTTTTCTAAATTTTCAATAGTAACTTAAAATTTTTTTAAATTAACCACATTTAGAAGAGATACCAAATTATTCTGAACCAAGAAAACACATTTCAAACTGTTATCAAATTAAGAGTTAATCAAATAGTAGAAAACTGAAAATATAGCAGTTGTTCAGGCAACTATTAGAAATATTTATCAGGATTTTTTTTGGTTGCGGTATTTGTCTGTTTTTTAAATTGTATAATTTATTGACACTGCTTTTTGCATGCTAAGCTAATATTTACTTTGATTCCTAATTTAGTCTGATGTTGTATATTTTTTTTTTCTTGAAGAGGTCCTACACTGCGAGCCTCAAGCTGCACGAACCTGGATTGAACCCCGCCCTGAGTTTTCAAGCTGTAAGGTTGTGCTCCTGGAAGGCTTCCAGCCTTGGCGGTTTTCCATCAGGAAGTCCTTAAGAGAGTCTAAACGGAAAAAGACAGATATCTTGGCAGATGAGGTCTTGAAGGTGAGAAGCAGAGTTGCCGCCCATGGATCTATCTATGAGTCCCTACTGAAAGCTCTAACAGTCGCCAGAGGCTGCAGCTTCCAGAGCTCAAGCAATTTTTAGTTTCTGTCTTTGCAGCGGCTTCCGAATTCCAGAGGCAAGGGCTGCACAATGCAGTTTGCAGAAAACCTCCACCAACACGCATCTCCGGGCCCGCAGCTTCGTAGCATTCATAAGCGAATATGTGCTTTAGGATTAAAAAACAAAAGCAGAACAAAAATGAACCCCCTCAACTGGGGAAATATAATCAAGATTACTCCCAGATTGTTTATTTTTCAAATAGGCTTTTTAAAACACCTTCAGCCATTCGGGTGTGGGGACGGGCGCCCAGTTCGTTCCCGAGCGTGCTCACCAACAGCTTTGCCCCAACCACCCTAATGTCCAACAACTGTCACCAGAGCTGCCTCACTCCTTGTCCGGCCTTCAAAGGGAGAGACTTCCTGTGCCGCCTCTAGGCTCACAAAGCCTGTCGCGGCAGCATAGCCCGCAGCCAGGATGCTGGACTGTCCTCTCACCGCCAGTCGGTTCTCTCTGGTCTCCGCGCTCCTTCTGGCTTCTCTAACCCGGCGGACTTCGGGTTGCCAGCGCCTCACCTGGGTCTGCGCGCCTTGAATCGCTCACAGAGTAGTGATCCCCAACCTACAAATGAGGAAACCGAAGCCCAGAACCCTGGAAGGCAATCCCCAGTGGCCACTGAGAGTAGTCACCAAAAACAAGTACTGTAAGTGACTCTGGGAAGATTTACATTTGATTTCCTACAACAGAGGAACAGTCTCTGAAAACTAGCCTCCACAAATTCTTCCCTGCGGACCCAATTCGCCCCATACCGATCCATTTAGCAAAATCTCCGGGAACAGTTCACCCCAAACCAATGGAATGAAAAAGCTTTGTTTAAAAGTGAAGCCTGCCGAAGAGGAAATCTTCGTGGGGGGACTTACAGGTTTTTAATGCATCATTTAGCTTCTGTTTTCTGTTTGGCTCCTCTTTCTCCCTCTAGAGCTGGCTGCAGCTCCGATCTTCTTGTCACGTCCTATTCTGCAAACTGAGACCTATCAGGGGCCTTTACACCCAGGGCTGCTCCTCATGCTAGTGTTGTACTGAAGAGAAAATTATCAAAGCCACGGCTGTGCACCTGCCTTCTCCAGGCCCCACCTGAATATTTGTACCAACAGGCTGTTTCTGAGTCTGGTAAGGAGGGCCACTCTGACCTCAGCTCTCCTGGGATATTTGGTGTATAGGATGCAGGGTTCTCTTCCAGCCCAGACTGCAGGTGAGGGAAGCAATGTGTGTGTGTGTGTGTGTGTGTGCACAAGTCAATGTAGACTTTACTGCTAAAGAAAAAAGAAATCGGAAAAAAAATTTTTTTTTCTAAGAAGCTCATGTCCAGAGAAAAGTAAACCACTAAAAAACTGAGGTCTGGATCAGAAGGATTTCTACTTTCATTAAGGACTGAGTAATTCAGACCAATCTTCCAGATGAAGACAACTAAAAAAGCTGGATAAAATATTTTAAAATTCAAAGGGCTAGTAAGGAATTGCTAGGCCAAAACTTGGGAAAGGAATCTGTGGACACAAGCCTGGAACTTGGGATTGCTTTTGTTCTGGGGGAAGGGGGCATTTGTTGATTCTGTAGGGGGTTTGAGAATCTAAACTGAATTTTGGCATCCTTTAAAGGCTTATGGCAACTGGAAGTCCCAAGGCCAAAAATGCTCAAGCATAGAACTTATTTAAGGTGACTCCAAACTGCTAGTATCAAAAACTAGAATTCTTTTGGGAGGAAGAGAATATCACCCTAGGCCTTGATTTCTTTCTACAAATACTTTCTTGTATATGTCTTCCAAATTATCAGAGGTAACCAGGCACCAGAAGGAGGACAGTAAAGAAGAAATAACACACAACAGGGTCTCCAGATGCTGGGATATTTGGACACAGACTGTACAACAACTATGTACATGCTATTTTCAAGAAGATAAAAAGCCATGCTTAGAAATTTGCCAGAGAACTCAAAATTCTAACAGGTGGCACAGGAGATTTTGGGGGGAGAAAAATATTCTAGACTAAATCAATAATGGGCACTAGAGTTAAAATATAGTAGAAACTCAAGTATGGTGGACTTGGTCCATCTCTGAGCCCAGGAAAAAGTAAAGATGAGCAAGTAACCTCAGAGAAATTGATATAGTAGTTTACTGTTTTCCATTTCAGCTTTTGGCCACCACAAAATGGATACCCCAAAAATAAATAATATAATTTTAACTATATTAATTTTTAAAGAGTTATGCATTCACTTGGCTCAATAATATATAAAAAGGTGTGCCCAAGACGATTTGCAACAATACTGCCCCTATTTTGTCCCTTCCCCAAACCCTGCCCTACAGGTAAACAGTAGTTTCCTCTGTGTTCTTTCAATGTTCCTTGATGTGAGTGGAAGTAAATGCAAGTATATGTGTGTATATAATTTTACGTCATATTTTATATACCTCTTTTTAAGCAAAATTTCACAGGTTAATTACTCTTTTTTTTTCATTTCACAAAAAAAGATTTTTGCTCATCAGTACATATAAAATGGCTCAGTTTATGATGGCAATGGAAAAATTAGTTATTTTGTGCCAGGTCCTGCAGAAAGTGCAGAGGACATCATGAAGAAAAACAATGGTCATAGGTAAGAAGATTCATTTTCACAGTCTTAAATGGAAAATTCATCTAGACTTGGCTCTGGGAGGATTACACAGCTATTCCTGAGGGCTCTCTCCCACTGTCTCCCTAGCCACCTGTGATGTGAGCTCATGGGAACCACTGGCCAATGTTGGACAGCTTTGTGCAATGGTGGTGCCAGATGTCATCCCCTGAATTTGAGGCAGCTTGGGCAGGGCAGCTTAGGTCCAGCAGCTCTCCTGTGCCAACTCGGGGCCAGGGCACATGTTGTCTACAGGAGACGGGAGCAATCAGTAGACTTAGCAGAAACTCAATGTCAGATGTGAGTTGACATTGTGCTAGGACCACGAGTCTAACTCAGATATCAGCTTTAAGGTGCTTTTAGGTCTCTGTGGAACTAATGAATGGGGTAAGGGCCATGGGAAGCCAAGGGGAGGCAGACTAATGGGGGAGCATCCTCATTTAAACAGACTGTCCAATTTTTACAACCCCCATAAATTATTCAATATTTTAAAAACATATTTTAGAAATCACTGGGTTAAAAATGACATTTTACATAAATTAAAATTGCTGAAAATTTGAATAAAAGTCATAACTAAAATAGTTTTATTTTATAGGGAGAACTCTAGACATTGACCCATTTACCTGACTCCTACATCAGGATTCTTGGATCAAAGGTACATTCATTATCTACAGAAAAGTCCCAAGTCAAGTTGTTGCCAAAAGCTCTGTCCTTGTCCCCGATGTTAATCCATTAACTGGACAAGGTTTTGAGAAAAAGATAAAGAAGGTTTTTGTTTTGCTAGAAATGAGAAACACAAGGGACTCTTGCCCCAAAGGCTGTGATTCTGCCCATCAGCAGGAACGGGGTGATTATAGAGGTGATTCCAAGGCTGGAATTGGGCACAGTTCTGCAATACAAAAATATTACGTACTCTGATTTGTTATGACAATTTTCTTTGATTCATTGCACAATTATAACTATTAAGTGTTGAGAGGTTGAGAACAGGCTGTATTAGAGTTCTCTGTAGAAACAGAACCAATAGAATAGAAAGATTTAAGGAATTGGCTCACCTGATGGCAAGGGCTAGCAAATTTTAATTCTGCAGGGCAGGCCTATCTGCTGGAGAGCCAAGGAGGAACTGATGTTGCAACTCAAGTTCAAAGGCATCCTGGCCTTTGATCCTGTGATCAAACCCCCCACTTCCTTGGGGAACCTGCTTGCTTTTTTTTTTTTTTTTGTGGCGGGGTTGCTAGGGATTGAACCCAGGATTTTGTGCATGCAAGGCAAGCACTCTACCAACTGAGCTATATTCCCCAGCTCCAGGAACCTCCATCTTTTTTCCTTAAGGCCTTCAACTGTGTGGATAAGGCCTACCAACCTTACAGAGTGTCATCTACCAACATTACAGAGTGTTATCTACATAATAGTAACTGATTTAAATGCCAATTGCATCTAAAAAATACCTTTGCACAAACAAAACTGGTGTCAACAAATATCTGGGTATGGTGGCACAACCAAATTGACATGTAAAATTAATCACCAAAGCTAATTCAAGAATTCGACAACCTTAGGTACCTGAATAAAGAGAAGGCTAAGTTCCCCTGATCTTGCTCCATACTAAATTGGAGCTGGGGTTTTAGGAAGCCTGCATATTCTCCTGGCAAAAGAGAGGGGTGAGACCACTATGGCACTTTTCTGTTGCATTGCAGCCTTTAAAACTTTAATACAATGAATCAAAGAAAATTGTCATAACAAATATCTAGATATCTTTTAATGGTTTTCTCCAAGGAAGAAAAGGTATCTTGTATCTTGTTGGTTTTTCTAATCCCAAGACCAATTCTTTTGTTTAATAATTCAAGAAATTGAAAGTAATATCTTGTGTTCCTCACGACTAAAACACTCAGGGTCACTCCGGGTGAACTGGGCTGCACAAAATCACACAAGAGATACTTTTTTCTTTTGGTCCTGGACGGCTCCTCTGAACTTAAGGGTCTGCAGAAATAGAGAGCAAGAGAGCACATGCTGAACCCCTTTTTTGAGGAGAAGCCATTCAAATGAGGGAAGGGATCAGGTTTCAGGGGGTTGAGTCTAGCTTCCTGATGTCTGCTGTCAGCAGGTTGATTGACATCTAGGAAGGTCAAACCCAAAGACAGAGCAAGAGAAGGGAACACACAAAAGGCATTTCCATGGAACATTCTATCCCAAACCAGGGCAAAGGGGTAGTATTACAAAGGAATAAGTGAGTGTAGCTCCTGAAGACACGCCTTCTACTTCCTGGGCTGGGACAATGCCCAAGTCACCATGAAATGTAGAGCTTCTTGCTTCAGGATGGAAGGCGTGGGTCATTCAGAATGGCTCCCCACAATATCTAATATTCTATTACTTATAAATCGACTTTTGTTGCCCCATACATTTATTTATTTATTTAGGTATTGGGGATTGAACCCAAGGGATCTTAACACTGACCCAGATCCCCAGACCTTTTTATTTTTTATTTTAAGACAGGTTTGTGGGCTGGGGATATGGCTCAAGTGGTAGAGTGCTTGCCCGACATGCGTGCGGCCCAGGTTTGATCCTCAGCACCACATACAAACAAAGATGTTGTGTCCACTGAAAACTAAAAAATAAATGTTAAAATTGTCTCTTAAAAAAAAAAAAAGACAGGTTTGATT